AAATTTTCCTCTAGAAATCTTCTGAGAGTTTTCTTGACAGCACAGACAGTTTACAATGTCTGAAAGGGTTTTTTTATGGCATGCTATGAACAAAATTTAAATACCAGTGCCAAGAATTAGAATGATTTACATCATTCTCTCCAGGGTGGGGCATACTCTATCCGCTATTCAGTTAGAGGCTCCTAATAGGCCCCATGGTGCTGAGCTGCGTTTATCGGTATAAATTAAAAGGTTTCCATTTCAAATCTTCTAAGTTCTCGAAGCAGGGCAGGCTTGGTGGTGGGGAAATGGGGGGTACATATTCAAGCCCTGTGGGAATCAACTACTCCCAGCACAACCACAGCTCCTGGCTCCTGCTGTGTTCCTGCAGGTCTCCGTGTGGCCGTTCATCTCAGAAGTGATAGCTAGAGCAAGAGGAGAGCACTCAACATCATACTTCCTCAGTGTGAGCACTGCAAGTCTTGCGACCTGTTTTCAAATACATTTCCATAGATGCGGAACCATACAAAATGACTTTCTTGCATGCTGTCTGTCTTGGAGGTCAGTGTGGCAATACTGAGCTAGTGATCAGGCCAGTCGGACACTCAACCTGTCGCTGGCAATTTACTGAATTACAAATCAAAGAACATTCACAGCTCATAACATGATTCAGCTAGTTTGCCATCTCTTACCAGGACTACCCAAATCCAGATGTTCAGGAAAATTTTGCCCAGACTCCACCAAAGTCCCAAGACATTCCTGAAGGAGAGCCATACTTCTTATTATTCTTCCAGAGACAGATTACCCTGCACTGCAATGCTTTCCAGCAGCAAAAGCAGTCCTGCTGGGGCCCAGAACAGCTAAAGACAGTGCACAATGGCTTTTTATGGGCAAACTAGGGTAAAATTACCCCAAAGACAAGAACAAAAATTACTGTATCACACACTGTTTTCCAGTGTCACCCCAAAACTTTCTTCTATATAAAAGGGGGCATATGCTAAAGGCACAAGACATTTCCTTATTACTGAAGACAAAGTCTATAAGCTACAAATGTTAATTTATATTTTCTGAGAAGCTGCTTTAACTACTCCAGGTAAAGTTTCCATGTGGCTCCTGCAGCATCTAAAGGGAGACATCCACAAACAATGTTCCTACAAAATAAGGGTCTCTTACTGGCAGATAAAACCCAAAATTTGTTTTCAGTGCAAGAAAAAATTCTACAAACTCCTCTAACAATAACTTTGTATTTCCACCAATTTTTGATGCTGTCAAAACAGGGAGCAGGTTCTCTGTACTTTTACCCACCCCAAGGATTAAGCAAAGAAATCAGCATCTGCCACAGCACTGCATACTTGCCTACAAAACAACACAGACAGTAGATGTAATCTAAGGCTTACTTCGCATTCTCAACACTGTTTTTAATCTAAGATGTTGCACTTCTGAGCTAAGAAAAAGCTCTAATACTGGAGGTCTACATCCTGCTCTCTTAACCAGAAGCGATGAAGTAGCTTCTGGCCAAATAAGGACATCTTCCAAGCCCTGCAGAATATAACATGGGTTTTATTACTATGTCACCACCAAGATGCAAAACTACAAGGAGTTGTGCCTAATTTAACTCAATGCTCTGTTTTCTGAGTTACAGCAGAGATGCTACTTAAAAGGAAACATGCAATTTTTGCTGAAAGTGCAGCAAAACCACGGGCCTCGATGTATTTTTGCTGGCTACCGGACACCCAAATGCAAAGAGATGACACAGACTGTGGTGGCCTCTAGTGGCGGTTTCGCCCACATCCCAAACTCATCACATGATTTGGCTCACGAGACTGCATTTGCTCCACTTCCCACCAGTATTTGCTAGATCATTCTGAAAGGGGCAGCAGGGTGAGATGATGATTTTGAGAGGTGCAGCAGGGGAAAGGTAAGGCAGGACTTATTACAGTCATCCTAGATGTCATTTACATATCAGTATCTGCCTATCCTCATCAGCTGCGGTTGAGTCACCTGACAGGTATACCCATGGGTAAGGTAGTTCTGGTTCTTAAAATTCTGTGTCTTCCATTGATTTTCTAACACAATTTCCTTTTAAGCTACGTTATCTAACAAGTTAAGGACCAGGTGTGTCTTCATGGAAGACTAATCTTCACTTAACATTTCTTTTCAATTAATTTGAGGATTTACAAGTGCAGGTTTTAAGAATGATTAAGTAGTTCTATAGTTTTTCAAAAGCAACAATCTGATGTATCTTGAAGTGAACTGAATACAGAGATCCTGGGATCTGTAGTCAATCTCTCCAAAGCCATGGGAAGGTAACATTCATGGTAAAAGTTTCCTAAAAACAGTTTAATTTTCCCTAACTTGGTTAACATTCCTCAGTTCCCTACCATCTGGCCTAGATCACCAATGGATCAGTGTAGAGGTCCTATTTCAGACTGGATGAAATTTTCCTCTTCCATACCAGTGAAGTCTATGAAGGCTCTAAAAGTTGCTTAGCTGAGGAGAGGGGAGACACATGAATTTGTTATAGTAAGCTCCCAGACCACAGCAATCACTGCTCAGTGAAGATTTTGGTATTCTCCAAGTTCGTGATTACCTTCTACAAGCTTAAAAATGCTACTCAAAGGATACAAAACACTGCACAGGCCTTAGAGCAAACAAGCCCCACCTTCCCAAGTGGGAAGTTTCTCAAGTGGACAGACAGGTGGTGAGAAACTCAGTCTTGAATTCCGAATAATTTTGTGCAAGGTCCAGCTCCAGCCTGAGTTACACACCATTTATCTTCAGTCTAAGAAGATTTCTTGGCTTTGTATTCACCGGTTCAAGCAAGTATCTCCAAAGAGAACACTGTATTTGTCTTTGACCAGTACCTGTCTGCTACTGATGCTGCTGTAAGCAAGGCCAGATGCAATTTACATGCCTCCATTTTTGTAACAGACTATTCAAGGACAGTTTTAATTCAATACTCTTTATTATGATATCCATTAAAACAATAACAAGGTGATTGCTTATTACAGCTTCCACAGACTGGGGCTCCAGGCCATACTGTCCTGGGTACACACACGCGCACACACATACAAAAGACAACCCTTGCCACAAAGAACTTACAATCTAAATAAACAAAACAAAGATAATGATTAATTAAGAAACAAGAGGAGGAATCACCTGCATGAGAACACAAGATAGTTTTGGCTTGGCTTCTAGCCTGGAGTTCAAGAATTGAAATTCCTACTCCATTACAGTATTCTTATCACCATGGTCTGAGTTTTTCTCTGTTAATTACAATGCAAGATACATTCTTCAACATTTATAACCAATATAAGGAGACACAAAGCTCAAGTTTTAGACCATATTTCATCAAGTGATATACAGCAAACTAGTCTAGAGATTCAGAGATCTTAAGTGGCCAGTTTCCTAAATGAGAAAGGCAGTAATAGTGAACTGCAATATGAAAAACAAAACCATCCAGGAATACCAATCTCTGCTAAACCAGTCAAGACTTAGTATTTCAGTATACCAAATTGCCTTACACTTTTGTGCTTGGAATAAAGAAGTGACAACTGTGTTGTGCTGCATGACAATGCCTGACCTTTAATGTTAACCAAAATAAATAAAGAAAAAGAATGAATACTGAAAAGCTATCAAATTATAAAGCTACACTGTAGCTGCTCTGATTCTGCAAAAAGTTTCAAACACAAAAAGGAGTTGTCATTTCTGGCACTCACATCACAGATTTGCTGTCCTTGAGCTGGATAAAAGTAAAATATTTGCAGAAACCTAAAATAAAAGTGACAGGACTCATAGAAAGAGATCAAGAGCAAGCATATTGGATTCAAAACTAGGTAGCATGTTTTACTTTTTTTAAAACTTGAAATAAATTGTTGGCTTTTGTCTTGTCAACATCAAAAGAAATTCTCTGAAAGGCAGAACGAAGTCTACTGCAGCTCCTCACTCATCGTTCACAGAAGGGGAACCATCAGTTGTAGATTGCAATAGCAGTTCCATTTCACCCACAAAGGCACTTGCTATCTGGATGTGAGCTATATCCAAACGCTACATTGCAATACAAATTGTATCCTAATGTATTCATCCTGAAGAGTTCAATTCCCATTAAGTGGGTTCTGATGACACCCGACATATTGATGTACTTATTTCTCGCATGGCTGCTCCAGAAACACTCCGGCACTGATTCTATTTCAATTTTGAAGAGCACATCAAATTCCTTAATGTGTACAGAACTAGGCTTATCAGATCCTAAACGGAGTATTTCAGGAAGCAATGAGAATAGAGGATACCCACCAGACATCCACCACCACAACCTACAGTATAAAAAACCCCCAAGCATAGTCTAATCCAGTGCTCTAAAGATAATCCACGACTAACAATGTGAGAAATTCAAATGCAATGAATAAATGATAATTGATGCCAGTCCCTTGAATAGTCTTATTCTTTTTAAAGGATCTCCTAATTTTTCCCCAAGCCTTAATTGTGTAGGACATTCTTCTACCCTGTGCAGGAAGTAACCTAAGTGTCTGTGTAACAAGGTAATTATTACCACAGTCTCCAGGCATTAAATGACAGCCCCCTGGAACACAGTTATCTCTGTATACAGGCTCTCACTGGCCCGTAAACATTACAAGTATCACGACTCACTTTTTCATGGTCAAGTCTCTTCAGTACCGACATTTTCCACTGAGGACAATTAGGACAGCAATGACCAACACTGCATAGGGAGCCTTATTGCAGCTGCTCGACTCCATCTTCTACAACACAGGCCAAAAGGGCTGAGTCACAAATGGAACCAAACCCAAGTATGATCTAGGAATCAGCTGGTGAACTTCTTGAAAACAGGAAAAAATAACAGAAATGAAATAACCCTCCTCTCCATGGGCCTAGACAGGCATACAGTGCAATTCTTGCAAAGCTCTCTGAAATACCTACTTCAATACATAAAGGGTTCACGTGGTGAAAAAAATCCCACATCAAAGAAGCTGCAGTTTTCCCGCTGTTAAGGAAAGCCACCTTGGTTTTTTGATCCAAGAAAAACTATATTTTCAGAATTCCAGTTTCTTCACAACCAGTATCATCTTGCACTGCTCAAAAATCCCAACACTATGACAGATAAAAGGTATCTCAATATAGTAAAGCACATTGAGTATTTCCCCTTCCCCCACAGTATCTGCCAAAAATCCATTAACAGTTAATCAGTTTGGCATGTGGGAGCCACCAGAAAGACCAGCTCCCTTCTGGTATTGATGACTGGAAGCCCTTCAGTAAGATCTCTCAAACTGTAATCTAGTGTAATTTTCAGCCAAATTCAGCCAAAGGGATAGCTGCCTTAAAATTTGATTCACCTTTTCCCTGCATCTCTTCTTCTTTCTTATATATGAATACTGGAGTACCTTCAGGATTACTATCAAGCAACTAACTAATCCAGTGGAAAAGCTCCTAAAACAAACAAGCCAGTTTTCAGTCAGACAAGTCCCTCATCTAGTTCACCACACAACCAGAAAGTCTTGTGATGGACGAGGTAAGAGACAGCACCCCAATTTTGGCAGCAACCTACATCCAGTTTAGCACGATCATGAAAATGTGCTCTTCCCTTAAATACCAAATTTTGCCCCCAACAAAATCACCTCAGGTACAGCTAGTCAGAAATCTGCAAAGAGCAAAAGGACTGCAGATGTGTATTAACCCTTTTAATGGAAGTCTGATTACTTCTACCAAAGTACCACACTGCCTATTACAATTCTGGGTGATAGAACTCCATAAACACAATTAAAAAAAAAAAGTATTAGGAAAATTCCAAATGCATTATTCTAACATACTTACATTTACTTTTGGCATATTCTAATGTCAGCAGAAATAGCTTATGCATGTTCTCTGCACAGCAAATGCCTTGATCGTTCTTAAGTTTGGAAATACTGATTTCAGGTGATCCCATGACCACAGAACCATATTCATGAGTAATTCACAAAAGAGAAGTCAATCTTTCTAACTCGTCAAGAGGATAGTGTCCAGATAAAAGCAAAAACTTGGAAAATAAGTTTCAGCTGCTCTGCATTCCTTGTTTGTACTTTTAAGTTACATATAATTACTTAGTAAAATACTGGTTTTTAAAGTAGATTTTATAGTAGACATAAACCGAACATCTATGTGGGGTGGAGGGAGAGGGAAAGGCTTTAAATCTCTTTTAAGTCTTGAAAACTTCTGACAAGATGAGGCAGGGAGAAGGGGGTTTAAGGGAAAAAACAAACCCAGCAAACCCTATCCAGCATCTATATGAATTACCCAATTCAAATCCATCTACATGCACAAAACCTTCTCTTTGTGAGACCTTGGTAACTGATCAGGATAAATTACTACAGCCTAAGCAAAAATTATTTTATTAGGCATAGGACTATAATAACGAGCTCTTCAGTCATTTCCATTTCTAATTTTCCTGATTCCATAATTAAGAAAACATGATTAGACAACTAATCTTCTTCCAGTTTACTGAATCCCAGATTACAAAGAGCCAAAATGCAGTAACATTTGAAAATCAATTTTACACAATTCCAAATAAATTATCCAGGCAAACAATAATCTCATGCAAAGCAACTAATATCAAACTGGAAACAGAAGACTCAAAATCTTCTAAATTCACAGGTGTTTCCACCCCAAGGTAGAAAATGAAAAAATTACTGCTTTTGCCTCATCTGAAATGATAAATACGTGTTTTTAGTTATAAGAAACTGCCTTTCAATACTCTATGCAAATTCTTCAACAACTGAAATTATTCTCTATCACTCTGTAGAAAGCAACAACTCCTATAAGGCAAGGATGAAGATTAAGCCATTGTGGAAATAAAAGTGCTTTTTTCAAAGTTCAAAGGCCAAGAACATCCATAAAGCGAAAAGGAGCCAAAAACCAACATCAGAATTAACAGGCAAGAATATACTCATTTGATGTTTTTGGAAGTGAACCTGAAATTTACACTTCAAGACTACTGTGCCAAAGAATGAGGTTTACAAGAAACAGTTTGCCTTAGGGAAACAAATATTACAACACTCAGACTCCAAATAAGTCTCAAAGATCTCAAGTAGTACCTTAAATGCTCCCTTCATAATTTGTTCTTCCACACTTTATGATTTTGACAGCCCCTGGACAACAAGATATCACAAGCAAACAAAAAGTCAAGTACCACACTAGAAACTTTAAAAATTATCGCCTTTTGGCTTAAGGTACAACTTGAGAGCAAGGCACACAGAATCTGTCGTCTTTTTAGAAACAAGAGACATGAAACGTGATTTTGTGCAGCAAGTATTGAACGTATGCGATTCCCTCAAAATTTCTTAGTTCCAACTTTCCAGTTTCATGGTCAGATCAGAGAGGTTCACAGTTTCACCACTTGAGTTCTATTTCACCAAATCAAGATATGGTATAGCTACTTCCACTGAAGCAGACTGGGCATATTACAGGGCATGCTGCCCCAGAGTACTCAACTTAAGCAAGTCCGAGTCTGTCAAGTCCACTTCAGGAGCTGTGAAGCAAGTGCTCAGGAACTGTGATGGAAATTATCTGAAACAATAAATTATACTGCAGCCAACTCTACCGCAGTAACTCGAACTAGCACTAAATGATGGAAAAATGGATACTAGGAACGTTTGTTCTGTATAGTAAGCAACTGAACTGTAGAAGATACAGAATACAGATTTATTATTTTGTTGGGTATAAACTCAACTATAAATAAAATCGTTTTAATTAAAAACTGTTATTATCAGCTTGATTGCTCATAATTACTCCTCTCAATCAATCAGCAGGCCAATACTTGGGTTAACTTGAAAGACTAATTTAGCAACTTCTTAAGACTGAATTAAATCTCTAACTCATTCTCGCAAGTGAAATGGGTTGAATTATACCCATTACAAAAGGCTACAGAGGAAACAGCAACTGCATATTAAACTGGAAAATTAACTGGACAAAGCTTCACATTTAATACAATTGTGAAAGACAGATAATAGAGAAAATCTTAAATGAAGATTTTCCACTTGTAGCAAAGGGCACAATAAATCAATTTTAAGAACTTGTAGCTTTTAAATATTTTTTCATAAAAATATATATAGAAGAAATCAAACTATTTCCTAACAGAGGTGAAACAAAGCAAAGCAGTTAGAATAAAGGAATGTTTCTCATAACTTGATCCATTTATCTAACAAATTCCCTCTCCATGGAACATTAAATGCTTCCTAAAACAATCACAACAACACACTGTAAGAACCTCCACCCTCTAAAAGTCAGACAAACAAGTTTTCAAAGAAGGTCCAACACACACTAATTCTTCAAGATATGTACACTTTAAAAGCACAGACGGGAGTTAACGGTGCTACTCAAATCAACTCTTTCTATGACCATACACGCTCCCTTCTAATTTTCAAGTGCTAAAGCTATATCTCAAAAAGGTTTTTTGTTCCTTGTAAGAGATTTCTAACCAACAAACAATAAGACTCTGCAACATTTCCAATTAGTTCAGTTTTGTTTTAATGATATGGGGCAATTCTTAGAGCAGACATTGTGTAGCTAATAACTACAAAATAAAGAGGTTTATTGGTGTGGTCTCAGAATCCCAATCTGAACAGTAAATTTGAATCAAGGCAATTAAATGAAAAGCCAGAGTATCTGAAAACGCATACTAAGTTTTTGCTTCAATTTTGCAATACTTCTTGAAGAACTTGAAAAAAGTAAAGTTGGTAGAACAGTATATATCACCAAGATTACAAAAACTGGAAGGAAATAATACATTGCAACAGTGATCCTCATTAAGTGATTTCATCACAATAAATGTTTAAAAAAGTGTCAATGTTATTTAAAAAGTGTTGTATACTCCCCCCAAGTATTTGAAGACAGATAAACCTTTTTTCTTAGTCAAAATGGCTTTTAAAAAAAGTTTCTCAAAACAACAGCAATAATCAAAAACCATGAATTGTATTTTCTTTAATCTGTAACATCTCTAGTGCTGAAGGGCCATCCATGTAAAAAGCAGATTCTTTGGGGACATTAGTCAATTAACTTAATAAAACCCAGTTTTACGAGGATTTATCCTTCCTGCTACGAGGTGAGTCTGCTCCATTTGAGGTCACTGTTCCATTTATTCCATTTTCTAGAAAAAAGAAGAAACATTTTTCAAATACAACGAGACACTTTATATTTTGCTACATTTTTGTAGGCCCTATACAAACAGTCTTGTATAAAAACTTCTTTTCTGATCTATCTTGTAAAATTTAATTATGATAAAGTCCAGTTTCCTGACACTGAAATGTGTGCATTATATACATGTGGACTGAAAATCAAGACTAGCTATAAGGTTTTAGAAGATACTATCTTAAAAAAGTAAAATACTCAACCTGTAAATGAGACTGTCCTGTGAAATTCTGGAGACACACAGTATATACACAATTCCCCGGTGTAGGTCTTTACTGTTTATCCCACCTATTTCATATTTTAATTCTTCCTAAAATTACACTCCTTCACAAACATTTCATATATATAGAAAATATTTAAATACAAATACACACTGTTTTTTTAAAGTATACACTTTAAAATATAGAATTCATTTATGTTCTGATGAAGATATTTACATAGATAAGATGGACAGAAGTAAAACACCAGTTAGATTTGAGAGGAGTATGTGTACAAGGAAAGAATTCAAAAACAAGACCGGGCACTTATCTTAACAATACAAAGTACGAATGTGTTACCAGTTGCAGCTCTGTATGTCTATCCCACTTCTGGGCCAACTTAAAGGTTTCAAGTGTTTTAAACTGTTCAAGTACCACAGTGACAATTTGATAGCAAAAGTTTGCCCTAGAACAATGACCCACAATCTGTGGATTTATAATGCACACAACTGGAGCAACATGATACCATTGTGAATTAAAAGTATCCCCTTTATTCAGTGTCACCATAACCCAAGGAAGAAGAGATGTTGCCTGACAGTAACTTTATAAAACAGATCTGAAGAGCGAAGTGCCTATCCAGCTATAATGCTTGCTGCTTAGCATCTTTGCTTCAATTTGCAGTATTGCTGTGACTTCAAGCAACCATTAAAACTGGTTGAATGAACGTTTTTCATCTGCAGGTGTGTTGTAGATCACCACAGTGTGGCCAATCCACAAAACCAACCGTTAATTTTCCTCTATCCCCCACTACACCCAAATGCTCCCATTTATTCAAACAAACAACTAAAAGAAAATAATAAAATCAGAAACATACATGAGAATGAGACCAGACACAGGATCAATTAGTCACACAGAAACAGTCAAAGCCTATCCAACATATTTGGTTGTAAACACCACCACCATTTTAAGCCTACACAAGGTGGTCTTTGGATACTTTTCAAAAAGTTTGTGTTATTCTCAAATCAAGAAGCTCACAAACAATGAGCTAGATCCAAGCCAGCTAACTGAATTTCATAAATATTTTCATAAACAGTCATGTCATAACAAGCGTAAGTAAAATAAAGAACAAGAATCAGCATGTGCCTGGAGACCCCACCTACATCACCAGTAGGATTCTTCTACTGTCACTTCTTGCTTTTGGCATAGTCTAAAAGTAGCACATTTTATTGTACCCTGGCTCCCAAAAATCCATCCAACCACAAGAAAAAAAATACAATTTTAAAACCATTTAATTGCATATATTACTCTTTCAAAAACATTGCCTTGCTACATACTGTGCAAGTGTTCTGAACAGATAACATTAGAGGAATCTTCAAAACACAAGAAGTAACACTAACCTTTAAGATTTTAAAGTTCTTTTCTTTCCATTTAAAATAAGCTGTAAATTTCCCCAGTCTAAAACAGGCACAGCTCAATTATTTTGTGAATAGAACCACAATTCCAATTAACTGCTTTTTTCACTATTTGTTTACCACTTGCAAGGCTCCATTAAAGTTAGGTGAAAAGCAGCAAATTCATCAAATTACGTGAATGAAATAGTTTAGGAGTTGTTAAAAAGCGACTACATTTTTAGTTCACTGATTAATACGCTATTTAAGTTTATGCTTTAAAGATATTTGTCATTAATGCCACAATAACTCATAGTACACAATGAACACAAAGCTCTGATTAAGTAGGACACCTACACAGGAAGCTACCTTCACTCAATTAAAAAAACAGTCCAACTGGATTTTCTGACAAAAACAAGAAACCCCAACAACACAGAAAAGCCGAGTTGAGATAATTACAAATCATCAAAAGGGAGTAAGAAATACTCTAAACCATATTAATTTTAATAAAAAAGAACAGTGAAGAAAAAAAAAAATCACTGAATTGATCTCTGAGCAAATCGTCTTCACACAGGTTTAGTATATCAAAAAGTGGAACATGTTGGCAATACATGATTGGCAGCAGATTATCATGCTGAGAAAAGCTTTTGAAATTACTGAAGCAGTTTCAAAAAAGGTGCAGAAGTTATTCAAGATAGCAATTAAATACACAGAAGTTTAACTGTTGGTACAGCAAGAAATATTGAAGTGTGTGGATTTTTTTTTTTTTTTTCCAAATGGAGCATATAATTTTCCTTGGAGGAAAAAGCATTCAGTTCACCTTTCATGCCCTCTCCATAAAAATAGTTGTGACGCGATCAAGTCAAACCTGGAGTCTTTAGTTCATTTTCAAATGCTTCTACACAGATTTAGAGTAGTAAGTAGTTACTACTTCCCTTAAAAGATGTATCAAAGTTCTAATTTTAGTAAAAACAATAAGCCTATTTACTGGATGGATAATGAAACCATGTCCTTGCCCTAAAAGCTCAAGAGTTTAGTGGCAATGAAAAACAAGCTTGAAATTCATGCCAATAAAAATTTAGAAGTAATTGATTATGAGAACACATCTAAAAATGTGTCTGCTCTCTTTTCATAAGAGAATAAAACATAAGCATGACACATTGTGCTCAAGTAATGAAATTAGACATAATAAAAATCTGACATTGCATTAACAAAAGAAATGGTAATTCCTTCATTCAGCCAATTAGAAGAGAAAAAACCAAACAATTAATATATAGTGGGTTTTTTAATTAAAAAAACCCAACCAACAATATTCACCAATACTGTTCCTGTAACTTGAGTCATCTCACTTGCAAGTTAGACATGTTTCTTTAACACTTCTATTATAAAAGGCTCTCCATTATCTGAAGTTGTTTTTGAGAAGTCAAGGCAACAGAAAAACTGAAAATACTAACCTCTTTCTTTTCTGGAGGTCTTTCCTTTAGCTGTTACGAACTTCTTTTTCACTGACTGAGGCTGAGAAGAAGAATGTTCTCTCCACCTCCGAAGCTGGAAATTAATGAACTTCCACATCATAAATGCTTGAGCCATGCAGATGGAGGCCAGCACACTGATTCTAGAAACAAAACACAGGTGAAGGTTTATCAGTAAGTTTCTCTCATTATTTAAATAGAAAAGGAAAGTAGAACACCACCTCAGATAGTTTTTTGCATGTCATAAACTGCCTTTTTACACAGGTTCTTCAAACACATTAGAGTGATTCCTTCTAGGTAACATGAATTTGTAAAAGTTCAGTTTTGTCTGGGTTTTTTTTTTGTGACCTCCCCCCATCCAGTAACATCAATTTTCTAAGCCATGCAAGAGTTAGCTCACATAAGGTGACTGGGCTTAGCACAGCTGAACAAAACTAGATATACTAGATATAGTGAGAGGGAAGTCTTTGCCCCTCCATCAAAACTGGGAAGTACTAGAATTCTTTCCGCTTTTCTCCTTTCTCAGGATTACTTTCAAGGCAATAGGTAGTAACAGCTGAAAACGGTTTAAAAGAGTCTTGCAGTTCTGAATATCAATTCTGCAGGGTAATGCTGACATCGTCAATGTTTTAATAACTTGGTTTTCTGTATTTAATTCATAGAAATCAAACCACCATTCAGGTGGTAGGCTGAACATTCTGCATTACTCAGCAGCAACAGAAGCTATAATAAAGGCAGAGAAAGAGGTAATCAGGACCAAAGATACTCTGGGCCTAATGCCTTGACCTCTATAGATAAACTCACTGCAATTGTATCTAGAATACAACTCAATAACTAAAATATTTTAAAGTAATCCCTGTAATTAGATACTCCCTTTAATTCTGGGTTGGGTTTTTTTTCTGACAAAAAAAACCCAAGTAACCAGTTACAGATTTCTCAGCTGTATAGAGTGTAAATGTTTAATTTCACTGTGCCTTACAAGTTTATTACATAAGCTATTTCTATTGATCCCATCGGCTGCATGAAACCTAACCATTCATAATTACTAGCACAAATACCATACCATACAATTTATATTGTTTATTTAGCACAGGTTTATAGCTCATGCTTAAGAACTGTTCCAAGTTTACTATACCTAACAGCCAGGATATTAAAGTTTCCAGTACTGAAATTCAGCTGCTGATCTTCTGCTCTTGCCAGTCCAAAGCCAAAAGTAAGGACTGAGAGAATCAAGGTGAGAAGCCTTGCCAAAACAAAAAGAACTGCCCACAGTGAAAATCTGCAAAGAAAAAACATCACAAACACTAAATGAATTCTCTGTTCACAAGTACCAACAATGCAAATGTTCACTTTTTATAACATGAATCCATTTGAAATTTAAGAACTTAACTAAACTCATTATTTTGCACCTATTCTAGTCTTACGTCTCTAGTACTTGTAGAAGACAAAAAGGAAAAAGAAGGCCTGCCTCACAATATCCTTTTTTTTTTTTTAACAAACCAAAGTATGTTCTGAGAACTAGGTTCAACTCAACAGAAAGTGCCTTCTATTAAAATTAGAACATAAGCATGCTAGTAGTTCCTACAGAACAGGCTGTATTAGCAACCTATGCTGTTCCTTTTCCTACAAACCTTTTTTTTAAAAAAATATTAGTATAAAGTGTCAGATTTTATTTCATTTTATACTACTACTAAGTTTTACTTAAATAGGTGAATAAGGTAAAATAATAGCTGGTTTAGAGATATAAATACTAAAACTAGCCTGGAGAACTATGGCCTCTAAGGAAACATTGAACTTCCTTGTTATTTTGGTTTCTGGTTAGTTAAATGCACAAGGCTTTGAGACAGAAATTACATGAGAAGATAACGACTACTTACCCTTTCTGGTATCTTTCATCACTGAAGTAGAAGAGACGGGATATGTGGAAAAGAAATTCAACAAAGTAATGCAATACTAGAAGAACAAGTCCAAGATGGGTCAGTCTATCAAAACAAATAAAACAAATGTTCAGACATTTTGTTAGATGTTCAAGACAGAGAATGAAGCCAGCAAAAATTGACAGTTGACATGGGATAAGGCCCTAGAGGGAAGAGGGACCCAGGAAAGATGGTTAATATTCAAGGATCACCTCCTCCAAGCTCAGGAGTGATGCATCCCAACAAAGAGGAAGTCAGCTAAGAATGCCATGAGGCCTGCATGGATGAACAAGGAGCACCTGGACAAGGTCAAACACAAAAAGGAAGCCTACAGATGGTGGAAGCAAGGACAGGTAGCCTGGGAGGAATACAGAGAAATTGTTCAAGGAACCAGGGATCAGGTTAGGAAAGCTAAAGCCCTGGTAGAATTAAATCTGACCAGAGACATGAAGGGTAACAAGAAAAGCTTCTATAGGTACATTGGTGATGAAATGAAGACCAGGGAACATGTGGGCCCTCTCTGGAAAGAAAAGGGAGTCTTGGTCACCTGGGATATGGAGAAGGCTGAGGTATTCAATGTCTCTTTTGCCTCAGTCTTCACTGGCAAGTGCTCCAGCCACACCACCCAAGACACAGAAGGTAAAGGTGGGGGCTGGGAGAAAGAAAAAACACCCACTGTAGGAGAAGATCATGTTCGAGATCATCTAATGAACCTGAAGGTGCACAAGTCCATGGGACCTGATGAGATGCATCCGTGGGTCCTGAGGGAACTGGCAGATGAAGTGGCTCAGCCACTACTCATCATAGCTGAGAAGTGGTGGCAGTCCAGTGAAGTTCCTGATGACTGGAAAAGGGGAAACATAAACCCCATTTTCAAAAAGGGAAATAGAGGACCCAGGGAACTACAGGCTGGTCATTCTCACCTCTGTGCCCAGCAAGATCATGGAGCAGATCCTCCTGAAAACTAGACTAGGGCAAATTAGGGAAAATAAGGAGGTGATTAGTGACAGCCAACATGGCTTCACTAAGGGTAAATCATGCCTGACAAATTTGGTGACCTTCTATGATGGGGTTACACCATTGATTGATAAGGGAAGAGCAACTGACATCATCCACCTCGGCTTATGGAAAACTTTTGACACTGTCTTGACATCCTTCTCTCTAAACTGGAGACATATGGATTTGATGGATGGACCACTCAGTGGATAAGGAATTGGCTGGATGGTCACACTCAAAGAGTTGCAGTTAACAGCTCGAAGTCCAAGTGTAGACCAGTGATGAGTGGTGTTCCTCAGGGGGCACTACTGGGACCACTAGTGTTTAACACCTTTGTTGGCAAAGTGAACAGTGGGACTGAGTGCACCCTCAGCAAGTCTGCCAATGAAACCAATCTGTGTGGTGCAATTGACATGCTGGAGGGAAGGGATGCCATCAGAGGGACTGTGACAGGCTTGAGAGGTGCCTGTGCAAACCTTATGAAGTTCAGCAAGGCCAAGTGCAAGGTCCTGCACACGGGTCAAGGCAATCCCAAACACAAATACAGGCTAGGTGATGAATGGATTGAGAGCAGCCCTGTGGAGGAGGACTTGGAAACAGTAGCGGATGGAAAACTGACTGAGTCAGCAATGCACATATGAAGCCCAGAAGGCCAACCATATCCTGGGCTGCATCATGTGAAGTGTGACCAGCAGGTCGAGAGAGGTGATTCTCCCCCTCTACTCTGCTCTTGTGAGACCCCACCTGGAGTGCTGTGTCCAGCTCTGGGGTCCCCAACATAAGAGAGATGAACCTGCTCAAGCGGGTCCAGAGGAAGCCACAAAGATAATCAGGGGCTGAAACACTCCTATAAAGACAGGCCGAGGGAGTTGGGGTTGTTCAGCCTGCAAGAGAAGGCTCTGGGAAGACCTTATAGCGGCCTTCCAGTACTTAAAGGGGGCCTACAAGAAAGATGGGGAGGGACTCTTTATTAGGGAGCGCAGTTGATAGGACAAGGGGTAACGGTTTTAAACTGAGAGGGTAGATTCAGATTAGATATAAGAAAGAAATTCTTTACTGAGAGGGTGGTAAGGCACTGGAACAGCTTGCCCAGAGAAGCTGTGGATGTGTTCAAGGAAGTGTTCATGTCCAGGCTGGACAGGGCTTTGAGCAACCTGGTCTAGCAGAAGGTGTCCCTGCCCATGGCAGTGAGGGGTGTAACTAGATGATCACTAAGGTTCCTTCCAACCCAAACCATTCTATGATTCTATGACTTACTTCAGGAGATAGGCTCCAGCAATATGAAAGAGATAAAGTCCAATGTAGACAATCTGGCGAAAGATATCTTCCTATGAGGAAGAAAAAAGTAATTATGTGTTATACACAATGTTAAACATTATTGTACAATGTTATATATTATTATGAACTATTCTGTAGTCTTGGAAATTCTGCTTGGTTTATCAGCTACCTTAATGTGGCCTGTTCTGGCACTAAATTACTAAACTTCAATCATCTAATTCCACACATAACTTATTGCTTACTTACCAGTAACATCCAGTGTCTTACACATATGCTATTGTGAGAAAACGCATCAAAGATGCTTTTTAAAAAGGCCATTTCTATTTGATGTGAGTACTGTGAATTTGTACTAGCTATTACAATACTTATTTGGTATGTATTACTATAACATCAGATTAACTTCCTACAGTTTCACATGTTTGCTGCCCATCAGATTGTTACAGAAATAAAATAACAGTCTATGAACCAAAATGAAAAGGCTTCCAAGTGTTGACATCTATTTTAAAAAATCCAAGATCATTCAAGGTTCTGGCACACTGTTGCTAGCAAATACAGAGAATAATGTTATTAACCACTTATGTTAAGCCACATGGTCACACTTCAAGTTAGCCAGCCCTATTGAACTTAACACTTCATAGTTATGAAATAATAAAGGGGAAGAGACATGAATTTAAGTACAGACACACAGCACACGGAAAGCAGAAGGTGCCATCTGTCAACAGAATCACTGAAGCATGCTGTGTCACAACAGAAGTCTGTCTTGAAGTTGGTATGCAGAGTATATTCAGTTGTGCTTAAACTCTCCAGTCTTAGGAAACTTCAAGCAAGGAGCTTCAGCTTTATCTTGTATACATGTAATTAAAAAAAGGCCTAAAAATTTTATCTTGTAAGATCTATCTTATGTTATGCAATACTCCATCTCAAAGCCAACAACAGCACAGAATCAAACACTTGTGACAACACCAAAGACCACACATATACACAAAGAGCGAGAAAACAGATAAAAACCTACTCTAAATGATCTGAAACAAAACAAAAAATTAGTTCTTTCAGACAAATTAGAATAGTCAAATGCTCAGTTTGTCCAAGTACTGCCAGGATGAACCTTTTGCACTTTATCTTCAGAACTGAGGTAACATTTAAACAGCCCATGCTTCCTGCTTAGACAAACTGTTAGAGACTGAAGGCCTACTGGAATAATGCAGGTGGAGGTATACACTACTATGCAGAAAGCAGTTAAGAACTTCTTTTCTGGTCTATGTCAGCAGTACAGACAGTTAGACCTGAGTGAAAGCCAGCTCCTTCAAAAGAAGGAATAAGGCAGAGAAGCCAAGACGGCAGAGGTTAAAATGTGATGAAAGAAATATCAACTATGAACTTGCTAAAACAAATTAACTATTACTCTTAAAACTTCGTGCAAAAGTCAGGGGCCAAAATTCCAAGCAGTGACCCAGCAGAACACTACTATTCAACATATGGAACTTCCATCACACTTGTGACAGCTTTCTTGAAGTTATGTTAAAAAACCCTCAACACTTGGATATGGAGAGAAATTCGAGGTATCACTAGCACAATATGGGAACATCAGCTGCAGTTATCTGCAAAACTTCAGTGTTTGTATTGCATCTGATCAGCATGAAAACAAAGCATCTCATTACTATTTTCCCAAGCCTCTTCCAGGCTCTTGAACAAAGACTTATGGTTATGTAACATGTCAGTTTCATTTTCTTGAATAGAGCAGAACTCTGGCAGCAGAGACACAGTCTAGTCACAGAGTAGCAACAGAAACACAGATGGTTTCGTTGGAAGGGAGCTTAAAGATCATCTAGTCCAAGTCCCCCTGTCATGGGCAGTGACATCTTTCACTAGATCAGGTTGCTTAAAGCCCCATCCAGTCTGGCCTTGAACACTTCCAATGATGGGCCATCCAAAACTTCTCCAGACAACCCATTCCAGTGTCTCACCACCTTCATCATAAATTTATTCCTTATACCTAATCTAAACCTACCCTCTTTCATATTAAAATCTTTTTCTCCTGTCCTGTCACTACAAGCCCTGATAAAAAGTCTTTCTCCATCTTTCTTATAAGACTCCTTCAAATATTGAGAGGCCACTATAAGGTCTTCCCAGAGTCTTCCCTTCTCTAGGTTGAACCACCCCAACTCTTTCAGCCTTTCTGCTTAGGGCAGGTGTTCCAGCCCCCCAGTCATCTTTGTGGCCTCCTCTGGACTCACTCCAACAGGTCCATGTCCTTATGTCAGGAGGCCCAGAGCTGGACGCAGCATTCCAGGTGGGGTCTCATGAGAGCGGAGTAGAGGGGAAGAATCACTTCCCTCGACCTGCTGGCCATACTTCTTTTTATTTGACCCAGCATACAACTGGCTTTCTGGGTGTGAGCGCACATTGTTGATCATGTCCAGTTTTTCACACCCCAGTACCCCCAAGTCCTTGTCTGCATGGCTGCCCTCAATTCCTTCATCTCCAGTCTGTACTGATGTTGGGGATTCCCATGACCCAGGTGCAGGACCTTGCACTTGGCCTTCATGAGGTTCACACAGGCCTAATCCTCAAGCCTGTCAAGATCCCTCTGGATCACATTTCTTTCCTTGAGCAAATCAACTGCACCATTCAGCTTGGCGTCACCTGCAAACTTGCTGAGGGTGCACTTGATCCCACTGTCTATGTCATTGATAAAGATATTAAATAGCATTGGTCCCAGTACAGACTCTTGGAAGAACACCACTCGTTGCTGGTTTCTAATTGGACATTGAGCCACTGACTGTAACTCTCTGGGAGCAGCCATCCAGTCAGTTCCTCATCCATCTAACAGTCCATCCATCAAATCCATCTCTTTCCAATTTAGAGGTAAGGATGCTGTGTGTGGGACAACATCAGAAGCCGTAAAAGAAGTTCGGGTAGATGACATCAGTAGTTCTTCCCTCACCCCCTGATGCAGTCAGTCCACTGTAGAAAGCCACTAAATTAGTCAAGCATGATCTGCCCTTGGTGAAGCCGTGTTGAAGAGTTTAAAAAAGAAAAGTTTAAAAAAGGAAGCTGCATATGCAAAATGAGCCTATGCAAAAAGACTACATAATAGGTCCAGGAAGGCAAAAAGTGTGCTAACAAGAAAAGATCTACTGTAAACTCAGTGTTTTGAGAACCCCAGCAGACAAAATCCTCAGGGGGAAAAGGATGCCATTAAAAGTTGAGCACTGAAAAAAGATCTAAATACACAACTAACCAGAACTTCTGCTGAGGACTATGGCATTTAAATCAAATCCCAGAGTTTAATATTCCTTGGATTTATGAAATTATTCACTGCTTATATTCTACACCTGTAACATGACTCATGAAGCAACTGTGATTTCAGTGAGACTATCCACACTACTAATTACAAGAGACAAACAAAAAAAAGTTTGAAAAGAAAATCTCACATTAATTTGCTCAAGGGAAAATTATTTATACAACAGCTATATAGCAATGTTATGGCAATCAGAAATACAGGATTTAACTGAAAAGAAAAACTGCTACCTTTTACCATGGATATTTGAGCACCCAAAGTTTCATCAGGAAAAGTGGGTAACACAAGTAAGAATAGGGTAGGAAATCTATGATAACATGTTACTCTGAAAGTCCAAAAGAAAGTAACTATTCCACTGTTCCAAGTTGCTTGCTTTGGAATTGTTTTGATTTACATTTTGAACTTACTTTTTTAGTTTTCTGGAAGTACAATTCTGGAAAAGCATGAAACCAGTATGCCAACTGTAAGATGTAGAAAAACTTCATTTGAAACCTGTACAATACAGCAAGAATTGAAGAATATTACTTTTTATTAATGAAGTTAAAACATTTTGGAAGCTTTCTAGTGAACATATTTAATCACTGTCTTTAAAGAAATAAAAATATAGATCCTTCCTGCCAGCCAACTCAAAAGATTTTTAAAAACCAAAATTGTTACGATAAAGCTTGCAAAAATGTAATTCTTTAAAAAGTAGCCTACAGAAAGAGAACTCTTTATGCTACAAATTGAGAGAATCAAGTTCCCCCATAAATATGAGCAAAACTACATTAGTGACTAATACAGTTTTACAGACTACTTTTTCTACACAGATTGTACGTGAAACACCCTAAATTTAAAACACTCCCTCCTCTCCCCAAGAATCCTCTGAGGAAGAGGCCTTACGGAATCAGAGTGTGCGGATAGTCCCTCCACAGAGAGGTTGGATCTGATATATAGTTCTCCTAAAAGAAAAAACAAAACAAAACAAACTAATAAACCCTCAAAGATGCTACTTCCTAGTCAGAAATAATGAACGTACATAGATGTATGTATTTATCTATACATGCATGCGTACATACAAACGTACATACACCTACACATACAGGTCAAAGCTGCAGATCAATATTTCCTTTTACAAAAAAACACAAACATCACCAAAACCAAGTCCCAAAACCAAAAGACAGCTGTATTGGCTTGGAAAAATAAAAAGCAACCAAACAAACCAAGCATTCATACAAGATAGTGTCCTTATAAGATGGAGTTTATCTCAGCATCACTACAGCCATAAGTCTTCCCTTATAAACTGCTGACAAACTTTGAGCTTAACTAAGAGAAGGCAAGTTTTTTCAGGAATCATTATGTTAAGGAAGAAAAAAAACATACTCTTCCCCTTTTTTGAAACTCTTATACACATTCAGCCACTAGTAAAGAGCATGTAATCTGAAAGCATACACTCACCTGAGTCTACAGCAATCTGTCCATACACCTATTCCCTAGGCTGCCAAAATACTATGTATGATGCTTTTCTAAGATTTATCTTATGCTAATAAGCCCACACCAAAATATTACAGAAAATGAAGTACCATAATACAGTTAAAAAGTTTTATCTTATTCAGTTGACAGTAAATTAACTCAAACTGAGCAACAGTAACATTACTGGACTTTATACTCAGTTATGACTACAACCTACACAGAATCCTTAAACTTGTCCCTGCTTTAATATTAAAACCAGCTAAAAGCTGAAAAATAAGCCAAAAACTTATTTGTGATCATCATAAGCAAAATTTTTTAAATCTCGTAATACAAACAAGAGACAGCATACTTACAGAGACAAGAATGCTTGTTCCCCAAACACAGGAGAAAAGGTAGAATGCACTAAGTTGCCCAGACTCATTGAACTTGCTATGCTTTGTTTTTGAAAAGTGCATTTTCCTGTTAATTTTCTGAAATGAAAGTCCATTGTTATTTATATGCTGTAGTACTTAACAATAACCTGTTAACTGCATTACAACATCTAAGTCTCAATGCATGTTTTAACAGTTAAAAGCTTTAATGCAAAAGTTTACTTTTAATAGTCTTGAAGTCTAATTATCTTGATGAAAGGAATTAATATTTTATACTTACATCCAGTACATACTCCTGAATTATAGCATGTATGATTATTGCTACAAGCATATAAAAGAAAATTGTAGCCAAGTCTTTGATGCCATAGTGATAGAGAGAGATTGTTTCTGCAGATTGTACGTCTAGAAGACAAACAGAATTGGCTGTTAGGCACCAGTGTAGTTTAATGGCTAATAAGTCTGCTTCTCAAAGTGAAACCTTTCAGACAGAAGTAGTTTGTAGTCAGCTGAACAAACAGAAGTTAAATTAAAGCACCGTCATGAGCTAGGTCACTTGGTTGTTTACAGTCATCTTCTCTATCACATCATGAACTAAATTTGATTCTCTAAACATGTACCATAAAAATGAAAACTTAAATGCACTTAGGAAGCTTACCCAAATGCATTGAAAGGCGACAATAAAATTACGTTAAAGTATCACTCTGCTGTGATGTAAAGATTGTCACTTGCAAACCAGACCAAGAATTAATGTTAACTTATCTAGTCAGATGGTGTTTTAGGACTAATGATGAATTCAGCAGAACAGAAACATCGTTTCTAACCTAATTATTTAAAATGGAGTTTTATTAAAAATAAAGTAAGTCCTTGAAAATTGCTTATTATCTATTCAAACTGACAAATTCCCTTACCCTCAGTCTAGAAAGTACAGCATACTAATGTCTGAATACACTATCTCATAACTAGCCTCCTGCAAGATACGTACCTGTGGCAGGAATTGTAACATTATACTGAAGTGTAACAAAAATGACAGCTGCTTTTGCTGTAAACTGAAAGAGAAAAAACAAAAGTGCTGTAAATGCTACTGAAATAAACAGTATTAAGCTGAAAACATTTGCCCATAGTTTTAGCACCCTTCCCCAGCACGTTTGTCCCCTCCCATAAAACTGATCAACTCGCATTATCACACCACTTCACCTGACCTTCCAAAGGCAGAACATATGGTGTGATCTCTATAGGTCTGTTTACAGAATACCCAATCTCCTGAATGAAATGTCCTCGAAAATGCTACTTACAAATTGTCTTTTCCACAACATTAAAACAAAAACACATGCTGTGATTCTTTCTCTGGTCCGTAATGTATTATTATATTAGCAGAATGCACAATATCGTGTAATCCCCAGACCCCGATGAGTGCAGCAATGGCTGAGAATAAATTCCATTTAAAACTACTTTTTGATTCGTCAAAATCTGAAGATCAGTATCATATCCATAAATCTGTGGACGATTTTGAAAACGTGGACAAGAAAAGAGAAAAGGCATAAAGAATGGAGAACCATTTCAGGCTAGCTGCATACCAACTCAATATAATTAGCATTTTTTTGACCTGGGGATCCTCTGGCAAGAAGTGTAAAACAAAAGAAATGAAAATTAGCAGTAGTGGTACTACTCCTTTATGATGGACAGTGAGAAAAAGCAGGATGAAGGGGGAGGGGGCCAGTTTGTTCTAAAGGTTTGGGTTTTTTTTTTTGGGGGGGGGAGTGACTATACTATAAAAATCCCAATAAGCAGGTAGCAGCACAACTTCTTATATCTCAATAAGCATAAAATAATTTTAAATTTTAGCACATCTTCGATGAATCCAACATGAATCAACATGTCTTAACAGAGAAAGAAAAATAACCATGCTTTACAATATTTATGATCTGATTGTTTCTCACCACTGTAAAAACCTAGCATCCTTTATTGCATTTCTAGGACCGACAAAACAAAAAAAAACCTCCAGCAAAAAACCAAACTCCTTAATGAATCTTGGAAGGATACCTTCAGTATCTGAAGATAATTATTAAGTTACTAGCATCATTTATGATCATTCACAATAAATAAGATTTATTTTAAAAACTAGTGCTTGGTAAACAAGCCCTAGATTTTCTAGGAATCCCCGAATATACACTGGACTGCTCACTCCGTGTAACTTCAGGGAATCCATCTAGTTTGTCTGAATGAGTGAAGCTGCCTAGGGCTCCCTATTCATCAAAGAAGCTTTCAGAGGACAATTCCAAACAGCCAATTTTGAACTGCCCTGTGAAGGCTCAGTCAGCTACTTACAGTCCTAATTCAGTTGCACAAGTCAGACAGTATAAATACCTTTACAGACCAACGTTAACCACAGGAGGCAATTTCCAAGACCTAAACTGGACAATCTTCTCAGCTGTACCACATCTGTACCAACAAAGGCATACGGCCCTTTGACACTGGGGTAGAAAACACCCTGGACTGAAAAAACTGGAAGCAAAAAGACTTCAGCACATCCAATCCCCACAAAACTTCCAATCCTACCAGTAATACTATAAATACAGTAAGCCAGAAGTAGGCATAAAAGGTAAAGATTGAAGTGCATCTCTTTAACCTCAATTCCCAGAAAACGACCATATAAGGACTGTCTTGATGATTTTTGATAGTAAACCCAAACATAAGAGGCCGAGGCGCAGCCGCAAGGTACGGCTGTGGCGGCAGCAGGCGCCCGCCTGTCTCCATGGGGCTGTGCAGCCAGGGTTAACACACGTTATCCGAGGAACAGTAACGAGGAACCCAATGCCGAGCAAGCAGAAGGGAAGAAAAGCTAACCGGCAAGTATGGAAGAGGAGACAATAAAAGGGAGGCTAGATGGGGATTTAAAAAAAAAAAAACCCAACCCGGTCACAGAACCTGTTACCAGGTTAAATACGTGAGTGATGAGATCTGGGAAATGAACACCGATGCAGAAAACTTCCAGGCTAAATTGAGCTGTCCTTCAACCCCCCGCCAAATTCATGCTACTTTTATTAAAGCTTCTGGCTGACAGGTACTCTCAGTGGATACATGGAGAAGAAAGATCAAGAAAAGGAGTAATTTATGGCTGAGGTTTAGTCTTGTCAGAACAGCTTTTGCTAATGAATACAGGGTAGGAGACTAAGATGCAACTATTCACTATGGCTTGGCTGTGCCAGAATTGAATGTGCACAAATACACTGTACAAACTGGTTTTAATAGGTTGGTTTCTTCCTACTATACAGAGCTGTGTGTAGTGTATGACCAGGTTTTTGGGGTGACCTACTCATGAAGCAGACTGATTAGTGGATGACCAGGTTTTTCAACTATGGAATGCTTTTATCAGCTGTGAAGATACTCAAGAGGTTTTGCACATATTTATTAAATCAGGAGACAGGGATATTTGGTATCTGGAGATGATCTGGGGTACTAAAAAATAGAGGAAAACCTGCAGAAATTTTTCCCTTCACAGCTGGAGATTTTTTTTTTTTTTTACATATAAAAGTTAAAGAGAACAAGCATTCGTATTTCAGTCCCAAGATGTTTTATAACTTAGAAATCCCTTCATCCCCTGGCCACACCAGTATTTTCAAACTCTAAAGTAAGCAGAACATTATTTTCAACAGCAACAATGTGAAAGTGTTATCTCCAGCTGCATACTGTGTGGTCATGGGTGTAACATACTGAACCCATGAAGTATATTGGGCTGGGATGAAAATGAGAATCCTTTTTGCAATGTTGTCTTGCATCTATTTCCCACCTCAGCCTTAAAAAGAAATCAGGTCATCTCATCTCCACAGACATAACAAACAGGACTTAACTGGGACAAGACATCCTTGTCTCACGCTATAATCAGCAAGTGCCTCAAGCATCTGGTTAGAAGTCCTCTTATGTAGGCACTGAGCTCCTCAGTTTCAACTTAGTTTTGTTTGTTCTGATGATACAGTGCAAACAGCTGTACTGAAATGGAAAACAAGGCAACCTGTTGCCTCATCTCAACAGTTTTCATGCCTTCCTTTTACTGGAGTTCCCTCTTCTGCCATACAATGTTTCTTATGGCTCTTCAAAGTGGGATGATCTACAACACCTGAGCCTGTCAGCCCTGTCTGCTTCTTGCCAGTGGGTTACTGGTCTGTTTGCCAGGTTTCTTTCCAGATGTTCATACTTTGAAATACTAGGCTTCAAAATGATCATGTCATTTAGGAAGGAAGTTCCTTAGAGTCTGAAATGGGGAAGCATCTGGCACCTTCTCAGAGAAGCCACCCCTGTGCCCCTGCTGCTACCAAAACGTTGCCATGCAAACCCAATACAGTTTCAGGTGGCAAGACTGTGGAGGATTCGGTAGGACGTGCTGTACCTGCAGTAACAGAACAATGCCCTTCCTATTTGGGAGCCTTTCCTGAATTCCCTCGTCATCAAACATGCTTAAAGATATAACCAAAAATGACATTTTAAATAAGGTGTACATAAGCAAGTTGGCAAGAAACAGAATCAAAAATCCCCCAAAGGTCCTAAATACCAACAAACTTCTTTCCTAGGTCTTAAAACTAATAAATGATGATGCACAGGATCTTCAAATTAGCTGGCAGGAAGACTGGAAATACAGATTGCCCCTAGCTGTTTATAAAGTTCACACATCGAATGACATTTGCCCTTCTGGCTTGATGAGATAGAAATTGCCCCTTCTCCTGTTTTTGACTTTTAAAGCATTCTGCACAGATGAATGTATTCCTTACAAGGGATGTAAATAGGAAAATGCCCATTTTCTATACATACATGGCATATAGCTTACATTTACCACTCTATTTTTAAATAAACACTCTGACTTATAATGAATGACATTATAATTAACTCACAATTAACAACTTCTGGTTAAACTGCAATTTCCCTTATTTTTTGTGAATGTCAGGTGTTTGCTGCAGCACAGCACAGAACATGGAATTCTCCAATTTGTACCCTCTCACTTTCTTTGCTGCTCGCAAGTTCCAATGATACTTTTAAATTAATCCTAAAGCCATTTCTTTGTATTTAAAAATGAAGTACAGTAAAACAGAAGAAAATGATTCAGCGACATTTTGCCTGCCGGTAGACTTCTTAAGCTCAGAAAGGTAATGAGACATCACCTCTTCATACCAGTTTAACTCCTGGCTTAGTTCTCTGACCTCACGACAGAAAACTGTGCCATTTCACTGATCCTTCTGTTTTTGTGAAGGAAAATGACATCATTCAGAGCATGTGAATTAAGTTTTTAAGAAAGAAAACAGTGATAATTACCTTTTCATTCCTAACAATGGAAAAACTATAAATTCATGAAAGAGTTACAGGAAAACAATTATTAATGATTAAGAAGTCCATGTGAAACCTCCTGTGTAATTATGAAGAGAGAAACAATCCAAAAGAAATTAAAAAAATAAGGTTTGTGGGAGGAGGAAAAATAAGTGGCTGAAATGGAAAAATACAAATAAACAAAACAAAAAGGGAAGAAAAGCTAGGAGATCTGGAAAAGACCCTAAAATGACACTGGACATAAAGTTAAAAGTAAGCAAGAGTCATTATATGGCCAAAAATCTGATCAATGGTTTTGCAGAATGAATTATTTTATAGAGCAGAAGTTACTATTACCCCTCTTCAAGGGGCTGGTTACTACTTCAGAGTATGATTTCTGTTTTGGATTGCTGTTCCTGGGAGTATTTTTGTATTGGATTTGGCTCAGCTGATTAAAACAAATGTCAATAACTTCATAAAATAATGATAATTATTAAAACATGCCTTAAATACCCAAACATACAGATGTCTCACAAATGCAGGTACAGTATTGAACAGTTAAAGATTTTCAAGGATATATATTTCTCTTCGGTAATTTCAAACATCTCATATCTGATTTTTTTTCAGGTTGAGCCAGAATTAAAAGAAGTGTATATATCATAAAACCTTCACACACTTTGAATACACAAAGTAATGCAAACATTCGTATGCTATTCTGAAAGTTTAAGCTCCACAGAGAACAGAACTTACAGTTTAATCTTCCAATATTGTATTTTAATACACTATACAGTATCTTACAACCAAGTAAAAGCTTTAAATAAAATATTTGTAGTTTAAATGGATTTAACAGCAAAACTTGAAGCTTGTTAGTTATAGACAACTTCATATGGTAATACATATCTCAATTTATACAGCTTTTTAATCACATTTTTGCAGAGTCTTACAAGGTAAAGAATTCAAGAGTCTGCTCCAACTCTGCACATTTTTTGACATGAATTAGGTAAAATGAATGTATACTTTGAATTCCGTAAAAATAGTGTTTCTGCCAGGAAACAGAGAAGTCTGGAATTACTTTCGGTGTTCGTTAAAACCTATTGCAGTGAGCAACCAGCAAAGATATGCACAGGCAGCTAAATTAGAAAAAGAATATAAACCCCAGTATTTACATCTGTTAACAAAAATAACTTGTTTTTTAGAATGTACAGATAACTTGTTAGAAAATCACTTTTTGAAAATCACAAGCAAATGAAACATTTTTTCTATTCTTTTACTAGAGATTTTTTACATATCTGATTTACTAAGTTTATAATATTGCTTTATAATATGTTATTATTAAGTTTTGTTTTCTGCCACCAGTGATAAAACTGGATATTTTACAGCAGAGGTAACATTCAGTTCTTCACACTCATTCCATTTTATTAGCTCAGTATGTATCAGGTCATTTTGAAAATTTCTGTAAAGAAGAATATGAAAAACATTATTTAACTGACTGTAACACTGCTTTGAAATGGTGTTACCACTGTTTAAAAAAAAGGAAGGAAGAATTAGTATTTATTTTACATATCATCTGAGCTCATCATTCTATTTTTTCATGCAGCAACTATGCAGATTAAAAATATTCTTGAGCAATCTTGCGTAACTTATAAATTGTTTCTCCATCTGAAGTTGGGAGACATGTCATGTACTGTTAAGAAAAAAAGACCAAATTAGTCACAAACTAACACTTAGATGCTATATATAAACATTACAGACGATCTCAAACTTAACCTGTACATGCATATGTATGTCTATACATGGCATTTTTTATTAAAACCACTGGAATACTTTCCTTCAGGCCAGTGTTGCATTTTAATGGAAGATGATAAACATTAACTGTTTCACAGTGTAACCTAGCAATATAAAGAATGATTAATAAAAAAGTGTTTAATAATCTCACAGTTATTGAAAGTTCAGAATATTAAAAATTCTAGATATTAAGAAATTTGAGGTAGCAGAACAACTGTTGCATTTTCCGAAATTTATGAACTTCAGAGAAAAAAAAATTGTGCTAAGAAATTAAGAACAGTCAAATTATTTTTCTCTCTTCATCAGCAGTGTTTTAAAAATGTGAAACAATGACCAAGATACTTATATCCAAACATGGGAGAAAGCTTACATGCCCATATTGTACCATGCTCCTGTACACGACATTATTTTTCTGAGTGAGAAAAGCAAATCTGTAAAGGCATTATCACTCCTAATTCAAGTTATAAAAGTTATGTACCAACATAAACTGCAATTTCTAGTATGAAGTGGTGAATTAATGACTGCAGCAGACAGCATATGGCCATAATTTGCATTGAGTAACTCTCTTGTAAGGTTGTAATGTGCCTGTCACATTCACTACAGATACTGACAACATGGTTCTTTGGAAAAATATTTTGGAAAAATTAAGCAGACATTGTTATGACTGCAGCTTGAGTCTTCCATAATGGGAACAATACTTGAAATACTGCAACTTGGACTATGTGGAAAGGACATCATATCAAAACCAAATGAACAACTACTATTGGTACACAAGCATTTGTATGCTACATTCTCAGAACCAAAAGAATAAATTTTCCTTTCCCGTGTCCTTAATTTGAACTGAATAACTGACAAAGGTCACATGATGTTAAGGGTTTATTAACAGATATAACTACAAGTGTTCTGATGAGATTGCTTCCCTCCCTCTCTGGGAGCTCAAATTGAAGATTAAAAAACAAAAAATCAAAAAACTTTAAAGTGCATTTCTTGTGCTTCATGGAGAGCAGGAACACACAGCTGAATCAAGACCCTCCAACTGGAGTAGAAGAGTCACAATAATTCTTCTAATTAGTATCTCCTCTAGCTATTTAAACTTTCTAATCATTTCAAGCAGTTGCTACTTTGCGAACAGCCTGAAGCTCCGTATCTGCTGTCTCCAAAATACAAAGGTGATTTCTGAGGAAAACTGAGCTGGTTTTGTTCAGTAAGCATGAGAAAGGTATTCTGGGAGAAACGGAAAGGAAGACTGCCTGGCTTAAGAGATGAAAGTCACTAGCTCACTCAAAATTAATTCCTGGACTTCTAAGATGCATACACACAGTCTACTGTAGCAAAGACTGCAAGTCTAGCTTTACAAAGAAAACTAATTTATCCACTACTTCATCTAAACAGAAAATGCTGTTGCTTGAGCTACGTTGGCAGTGAAAAGGATAAATAGACAACAGCATCTGATACCCCAGAGGAATCTTGTGGAGCCAAACTGGAGAACTGTGTAAGTCAATAATGTTACTAACCAAAAATTGAGATCACATTTAAAAGCTGATCCAATAAGTATCATGCTGGTAAGCTTTCATGGCATTCTGCACAAAATATACGTGAAGATGTCATTTTCTGAATTTCAGTAATGACTGTATTCATGTGACTCTAGACTATTTTATAGAGGCAGGTCATCATTATTTCAAAAATTGTCTCAACTGTTCACACAATTAGTATGTAGTAGCTGATTTAATAAAATAAAGAGAAGGTCTTAGTTGGAAAAAATACACTAATTTCAAGTTGTTATTCAGGTTGGTAAATGCTGAAAATTTGAAACAGTTGTAAATATTAATGTAATTATTATAAGTAGACAGTCCTGGGTGCAGTTATGTAATGTACAGACAGGAGTATTTTCCTTAGTTTCTGGCTGAATAACTTCTCCACATGCGCATGCCATTACAGAAACAGAATACTTCACCTTGTTCGCTAAAAGTAAAGGCACAAGGCAAAAACAATAAACTAAATATAGTTGCTCTACTTCAGTACTGTACTAATCAGAAATTGTAAAAATTTACACTGCATGATTTTAACCATCTCGAGAACACATACATGTAAAAATATGCATTTAGGAAAGGCAGAAACGTAAAACGTATTCCCATAAAATACTATGTACATGCATGTTTAGGTAAGAATTTCAGAAAATACACAAACGTATAAACACTAGCATTAGGAATGTATTCCATGGTATGTTTTAAATGAAAATGTAAAGGTATATGCATTGGAGTAATCTGTGCTCTAAGTATGTCACAAATACTTTATAAAATATTTTCTGAAAGTCTGGAAATACTGTATAGCCAGAGGCCTTTTATATATAATTCTACTTCAGTTGTCTGAAGGACAGCCACTACAACTAATTGCAGGTTTTTTCCCCCTGGATATAATCCACTAAAATATAATGAGAAACAGTATATAGAAAATCAAAATTAAAATTACCCTCTACCCACAACTTACACACTTTTCCTTCTTTTTCCAACTTCTTCAAGTGGACTAGGAGGTTATTTTCTGCTGCTGGAAGTAAATTTTCAGGGATCTCCTAATGGGAACACAAATACGCATTTTGTATTTGTTTAAATATCTCCCAATTATTTTTTTCAATATATGTAACTCATGGTTCAACATACATAGATCTTCCTCTTCTAAACTGCTATGTTGAACATTCAGTTAGTTATATAATGACAACAAACTAAAATGAGCAAATCAATTTTACACCAGTTAAACTAGTAGCCCCAAAACACACTTTAGTTTACTTTGCTCGTATTTTTGCATTATCCATTTGTGTTATGCAAACTTTGGCCAACACTAAGACTGTGCTCTTCTGAGCTTGGTCTGCACTGGGTCAGCATTTTTAAAGGCAAATTTGGAGATGTATTTCTCCACCGATACCTATCACTTCTATTCCATGACAATGTTTGCATAGGTTTAAATATCCTTTAACAATTAGCATCTATAAAAGAGTGAACAATTTAAAAATACAACAGCTTCGGGAGGACAAAACATCTCTTAAAGTTTTCTAATGCCCACTAGGTAAAAGCCAATTAGATTTCAAAATACTCCTCTCCAGCTCTGTCATTCTAAAAGAAAAGCTGCCTTTTTGAAAATTAAACAGTTGTTCTCCAAGTAACACGAGTCTGGCAGGAAAATTCACTAGAAAACTAGCTCAATAAATTGTGAATCTTTAAAAAGCCGGAAAAGATTACACTGTCATTTTTAATATGAAAGCTTTAGTAGTACTGAGAAAATTCTCATCCTATAGTGACAGGACAAGTGGTTTGTGATTTAGAAGAACATGTGCATGGCTGTATACTTTAAAAGCTGTTGCTGTTCAGGCAGGAAAACTGCAGGAGCTAAACAGCCACAGGTAATGGGTACATCAGCACTGCAAAATGTTCAATGTGACGTAGTCAATTCTTTTGCAAACTGGGGATCAGCAGAACCACGAAAAATGAGTTATGAAGCTGTTACAGACTTACTCACAAGCCACTGCCATAGGCAACTTAGACATCTTCCTCTGAAGCAAATGCTGTAACTTTTATCTTTACTTGATAGGAGGGGTAGCCCCCATATCACATGTACAAATTACCTAGGTTACATGAAGAATGATGAAGTAGGAAATAAGTACTTTTATGTCTGCCTAACGACACAACGCAAGCCACCCAACTTCTGAGCACAATATCTATCTTTGTGGAACTACAGTCCTCCTGCATCCTCCTGCAGACAGATAAACCAAGAACTAGAAGTTCTAAACAATCTTTCAGGAGACTCCAAACACACTTTGACAAATCAACAATTAACAGTCATCTCATACTTTTCACTTAGAACCAAGCACTACAACTTTATTTTTGCTTGGTCCTATGAAACTGTGCTTAGGACCATCTAGATAGTGAAATAAGAAGGTTGTAAGAATCATCCAGGCCCTACTCCAATGAAGTGCTTAAACAATGCAATTTAAATGCACAGTCATATATGAAATCTGAACAAGCAGAATTTATTTTTTCTCTTTTAAAAAGCCACCACTGTCTTCACTCAAACAAACCGTTACATACAATTTTATGAACATAACCTCAATTTTCTTTAGTTTGATCTAAAAACTTTTAATCAACAATTACCTTGTATACTATCTTTACAAGCTCCGAGGACGTATATGATTTTCCAGCATTCTTCTGGAAAACATTTAGAATTTGCTGTTCACGTGCTGTTCGGTGAGAAATGTAGCTTTGGATTCTAGCATTTGCATCACGTACTACTGGGCCATGACCTAAATCAAAACACAGGTACCAGAGCACTGTTACTTAAATTTGGAATTAAGCATGCTATTGAATAATTGATTCATTATTATATAAACTCTGGTAGACTTAAAAGTCATAAGAAGGGTGCAGCACCTATACATACCACCCTGTCAGAGTATCCTTGATGTTAAACTGTAAGACGCTCTTGCTCTTTGCAAGTTTTTTTGTTTGGTGGTTTGGGTTTTTTTTGCATATAAATAGGCTAAAATTAAGTTTGAATTTCTGCACCACAGTCTGAAATTGAAAAGCATTACAATGCAAAGGAAGCATTAGGATCTGAAAAGCGTGAATGGGGAGAGGGAATACTTCAGATGAGATAAGGAAAGCAAGGGAAGACTACTTCAGGCTATTAAAAAAAAAAGGAAAGGAGTTCACTGCTGAACAGATTTTAAGGATGAGATTCAGATCATTATATTACCTCTCTCTGCCTGTCTCACTCTCCCCAAAAGATACTGATGACTTCAACTGATTCTGGTCTTTGACCAGTATTGGCTGAGGTGAAGGACTCATGTACTACTGTCCTGTTGTGGGGCTATCTAGCAAACACAGGGCAACAGAAGTAACATCTTTAATTGCGACAGATAAATTTTCCAGGACAGATCTTCCAAAGTGACTCACCCACAGTAATTTATACCCTTGAGAACATAATTTCATAAGTATGATAAAAAAAAATCAATAGAAGACAAATCCATGAGCCAACAGGAATGTGTCAGAGCAGAAATAAGCAATGCACATGGAAGGCTGTATGTGGACCTTTTTATGTCTGGCATAAACAAACACCTGTTTTTTTCCTGGACTTACTATGGCAGATCAGAAATGTTCAACTTACTTTCGAAAGGTCTTTGAATCAAATTATAAAAAACCTTAATTGGTAAAGCACTAACCTTTGTGGAAAAATCAAATACTGCCTCATGATACACTAAAATGACAGATGAAATGAAAATGTTTTTCAGACATGAGTTACATGAACAAAAGTTAAACAATGTTTTACCTATAAAGAAATTTACTTACATCATGCTTTTTATAGCAAGGTTTCCTATTTCTTTGCCTGTATACCTCACCTGAAGTAGCAGCAGAAACTTCTAGCTCTGCCAGTCTAAACTCCAAGTAATTTATAAAATGAGAGAACAGAAACTATTGTGAAAAACACAGCTTTCTCTTAGAAGTCATTTGGCATCATCCAAATCAGGCAGTTTATTTTGGGTTCTCCGATTATTTAAAAAGAAATCATCATATTCTTTAGTTGTACTTTTGGGTTAACTGACTAAATGGATTTTTAGTTTTAAGGCTTTTAAAACTAGAGCTTATTCTGCCTGAGGACAGGCAGCTTATAGAAAAAGAACAACTATTTTTTCATGTTTTGAATATCTGTGAAGTAAGTGTCAAAGGAAACCTATTCTTCAGCAAGTCAAAATATTTATATGTATCTCAACTTACACACTCACTTCAGCAGATTTGAAATTACTAAATACACAACGAAGCTTACCTTGTATAGAGTGTAAAGGTAGTATAATAATAATAAAAGATATGTAACATGTAAATATAAAATTATTCTGTCATGGGCACATATATTTAATGATTTCAAACATCTTTAATCTGAAGCTATTATTCCGTACAAAATAAATTACAAATATAACAGTATCTCTAGTAAATATGTTGCCATTTAGAAAAAAAATGTTTAAATTTAGAAAAAAAAAAAGATATATAGAGCAGAGACTATAATGCTAACTGTCCATTCTCTTGCATTTTCTAATGACAGAAGTCGCATTAAAATCTTCAAAATTAAGGCCTGCACATGGAATCACAAGGCAGTCTTAAAACCAGTCTCTGCTCTTCCAACTGATTTAATTGACTTTTACTACAAGACCAATGTCAGTACCTGGAATGGAACACAAATTTTGCAAAGTTAAAGGCATTTCATATCCATTACATCATCTGATCCACAGCCATTACATATGCATATGCATACATTAAAATTATGTCAGAAAGCTTGGAACTAAATCCACATGTGGATCTTTACCACCCATAATTTTTCAGGGAAAGCAACTCAATTAACTTCACCAATAAATAAATTAGTAACTGCATAAATGTAAAATGTTTCTGAGTTTGTAAAATAGATCTCTCAAAATATGACTGCCTTTTCAATAGTTCAGATTTTATATCAGACAGCTTCATATTATTTCACACCTCTATAGCCCAGACTATCAGTTACAGTAAATTTTTATTCTCATAACACCCTGTGAAGTAATATAAATTTCTCTTACTTTACAGTAAATTAAAGCATTAAGGATAAAAATAATTGGCTTATGAAATCTTGCACAGATTCCTAACTCCAGTACCATTTTTTCTGTATTATCAAGGAACATCATTTATTACAGGATGGGGAGCCCTCTGCTGATTAAAATGCCCTTTTCTGGACCCAAGGATTCTCATCAACTATCGACTGTAAATAGACTGTCATGAGTATTCTGCCTGAAGTCATCTTCACATTAAATTAAAAAAGAAACATGGAAGGGGAAGGATTGGGAAAAATTCAGCTACTCACACCTAGCCAGCAGTCAGCTTGTTACAAAAATTCATGCTCCTCTACATCTAATCTGAAGCTGCAATTTAAGTGCTAAAGCATGGATGGAGAACAAGACAAACAGTTCAAGAATTATGAAGACCTATAACTGCAATAAAGTAAAAGTACTGAGCTCATACAGAATGTACTGGTAAAGCAAACTACCTTCTGCTATAGTTACCATTTTACTGTATAGACCAATAATATAAACAATTGTTCCGACTGGGCAATAGTTATCTTTTACACAATTGCACACACATTTTGTGATGCATGGATTAGCTCCAAACCATCTCAGTACTTAGCTACTCATCACTGAAAATATATAATAAATATCCAACTGGCTTCCTAATGGCAAGTACAGCATGAACATACTTACAACAGTGTAGGAAATAGTTACAGATAAATGGCACAAATATTCAACCTTCCTGAATGTGTAATCTAGATAAATTAGGGAGAGAGTGAAATATAACAGATAAAACTGATAAACCCAATAGAATTTGGCATATATGGGGTTTTGGAAGGCAGAAACTCAATTAAAGCAACAGCCTTAGTTTTGTAGGTATTTAAGAAATAAAATAGAACATTTAATTCATCGAGACTGAGATTCAGAAGGCTATTCTTAGTTTTACCAGTAGTTAAGTCAATAACTATGAGCAAGTCACTATTTCTGTCTGTCAGCCTCCACATCCCTGGAATATTTATAGTGGTATTTTTCTTAAATAGCATTTTAATGATTAGATCTTAAAGCATTTAGAGAACACCTACTTCAAAAGAAGCATATCTTAAAAATGAACACAAAAGAGATTTTGTTATGTAGGCTAAACATAGATGGTTACGGAGGAATACAGAACTGAGAATGTAGACACAGTCACTCAGAATGACAAGCTGAAGATGATGAAACAGAATAAATCAGAAAAAATCCTGAGATGTAGCTCTGAAAAATCAAATGAAGAACTTAAACCTTAGCTACATAATGAATTCTTAAAACCCAGTCTTGACAAACAGACAAGTGCTTTATATGAAAAGTAAATGCATTCCCAAGGTTTGGGGGAGATAGAGGAAAAAAAAATAAAGCAAAGTCATAGACTGAATGAATCAGCAACTTATTTTTAGAACATGACCTTTGACCTCTTGGTTCTTGTTCAAATTTAAGCTAAGTCATTAACCAAGTCAACCATCTGACAGTTCTGCAGCTTTCCATGATTGATCTGTGCTGAGGACAGACACCCCTCAAAAAAACTTACTAAGTTACTCACATTGGCAGTGTATGTGGGGATGCAAATCCAAGGTAACATTAAGGCTTGTGGATAAAGTAATATAAGAAAACCAAAGTTGCTGCATAATTCCAACACTGAAAGATTCTGGCCTCTGTATGCTCTGGGCTCAGAAGCACAAGATTCACCCTCAGATGGAGAAATGTCAGGAAGGAAAGGTATCTACCACTGAAAAATTTTCAAGTCTTGCCATAAAGTCTTATGCAGTGGGCATATATTACGTAATGAACTTGAATTGTTAGATTAGTAATGGTGTTTGATTTTAATAAAAGTTCTCAAATTCTTAGAGGAGATATTTAAAAATTGTATAGTAAAACAGAGCAGTTCAAAATAGAACCACTTACCTGGATATATTAAATTTAGTTTCATTTGTAACAACCTCTTCAAAGTTTTCATGTAATCATACAGGTCTTCAATTACAGTTGTTCCTTCCCCTAAAATACAGTCACCGGAAAACAGAGCATTTTCTTCTTCTAGATGTAAAGCCATATGATCATCAGTGTGTCCAGGCGTATATAACACTCTAAAGAGCAACAAAAAAGCATGTTTTTCATATTGCATATATGCTTCATTTTCAGAAGCTAGAAACACATGATAGAAATCATACACTTACAATGTAGCCCACAATAAGAACCAGAAAGAAATAGACCAGAAAAGGCTGAAATGTTGATGCAAACAGGGTATCACTTGGTCTAATCCCAGTCCATTCTCTTATACTATTGTAGAGAACACTGATCACCATCTCTAACATGCTTTTACTTACATGACGTATCATAATAAAAAGGCATTAAGGGAGCTGGCTAGTCATGTAGAATTTGTGTGACACAAGGCTTTACTCTGAAGCTTTAAAAAAGAAAAATTGACAGGTTATCTCCAGATGGAAACATGAAGTTCTTGACATACACCTTGCACTTCGCAAAAGAGAGCAAGGATGATGTTGCCAATTCTTTTAGAAATTAAGTATAAACTTTGAGACCAAACCCTGATAAATTTCTGTCTCCTGAAATTTATTTTTCCTTGAAAGCCCCATGACACAGTGCAGCTGAGCTGTCAAATACAAGGAATCACAGTCTTTTAGCTGTTCTACCTGCAGGTTGTTAAACATCTGAATGGTAAGGACTTAGGACCCCACAGCTTGAAGGAGTACTGCATTCCAACGCAGCAATTGGTATGTACATAGTAACCTGAGTTGCTGAGGAGCTGCACCGCAGTGTCCTTTCACTATGATTTTTGAAAGGCAGAAGGCCTCATGCTGAGGCTGATTCAATGTGAAAGTAACACAACTCAGACCAGCATCCCTGCTGAAATTCAGCAGCATCTTCTTGTTAAAGGCAGATGCGTGAAAGCAGCAAACAGGAACCGACAGAGCTGGTGCCAAGCATGGTGTACAGGCCAAGATAAGCAGCACACAGCCACATCTATGCAGGGCTGGGAGACCGCAAGTGAGCCATTGTCCTGCGGAGGCAAATCAAGCTGATGGGTTCCATCTTGCCCTCATATGAAGTAGTATCCTCCAGTTCTTGACGAAACATTACCAGGAAGCTTAACCACTAATTGGAAAAACAAAGGAAAAAGAACCCAATGCTATCTGGCACAGCTTGAAAATCTGAAGATTGCTAACTAAAATTTAACATGCAGATACTGCTATTTTGGCACCAGTGGTGGATCTAAGAGTATCCTTAAAGTGTTTACTGAATTAACCAGGTGAGAATTCCTGCTTTTAGCATAAAGTTTGGCTGCATTACCCCAAACTTCAAATGTGCCACCCCTGTCTGACTTGGATTCAAATTTAGCAAGTTGTTTTCCATGTCTAAATTGATTTTGTCCAAACATGGGCCACACAGAGTAGTGATAGATCTTCAATAATCAACATAATACTCTCCATGTTTGGTTTCTTTTTTTTTTTTTCTTCACAATAACAAAATAAAATGCTTTTGGTCAAATATATCCGTTACTTTTACATTTCTTCTTCCTATCAACCAGCTGGCATATTCTACAAGTGGGATATAATTCACATCTAAACTGAGGAAAACGAGCAAAATTTGTCCTGCGAAGAGTAATGCATTTATGCATTAATGTTAATGAAAGAACTCTGGAAAAGAACAGTCAGATCTTTTCTTTGTGTCTGTGTTTGTGTGAGGCAGAGTGGCTTTCTGTTTCAGACTCATTCAAGCTAACAAGACAGGCAATATACTCTCTCAGAAGAAGCCCTTCCAAATTGGCACCCTACAAAGAACCTGACAGGTTAAAATGTTAAAAATTTAAACCCTTAAGTATTAAAGGTTTTAGTGTCTGAGAAATATTTTAAAAGTAAAAAGAAATGCACGCTAAATATTCCATCCAGACTACCATAAACTTCCCCAATATATAATTTTTAATAAGTGTGCTGGTTTTGGCTGGGAGAGAGTTAATTTTCTTCACAGTAGCTATTACAAGCCTATGTTTTGGACTTGTGCTGAAAACAGTGTTGGTAATACAGGAATGTTTTCATTACTGCTGAGCAGTCAAGGTCTTCTCTGCTTCTCACCTCACCCCACCAGCAACAAGGCTGGGGGTGCACAAGAAGCTGGCAGGGGATGCAGTCAGGACAGCTGACCCCAACTGACCAAAGGCATATCTCACACCATGTGATGTCATGCTCAGCATATAAAGCTGGGGGAAGAAGGAGGAAGGGGGAGATGTTTGGAATTATGGTGGTTTTCCCCAAGTAACTGTTAAGTGTGATGGAGCCCTGCTTTCCTGGAGGTGGTTGAACATCTACCTGCCCATGGGAATGAATTCCTTGTTTTGCTTTGCTTGCATGTATGGCTTTTGCTTTACCTATTAAAATGTCTTTGTCTCGACCCATGAGTTTTCTCACTTTTACCCTTCCAGTTCTCTCCCCCATCCCACCAGGGGGTAGTGAGCAAACAGCCATGTGGGGCTTAGCTGCTAGCTGGGGTTAAACCACGACAGTCTTTTTTGGCAACCAGCACAGGTACCCCTTGAAGCATCAGTGGCTGTGCACGAGGTCACGCTGAAGCACTTCAAGGCATGTGGCCATGGATAAGCCCACAAGAGAGCAGGTACATCCCTGCAGCCATGGGTAAGGCCAGGCTGGAGCAGCTATTTGTCTGAAGGCATTGTGGCCCATGGAGAAGGCCATGCTGGAAGAGGTGCACCTTAAAGCCACTGTGGCTGTGTGTAAGTCTACGCTGCAGCAGGTCTAGCCCTGAAGAGACTGGCACACTGATAAGGCCCCACTTAGAGCAGGCACACCCCGAAGGGACTGCATCTGAGCATAAATCCAAGCCAGAGCAGGGCAAGGGGAGGAGTTCATTGCAATGTTAAACCCTATAACCTGGCCCAAAGGGTCCAGGGTGGAGATTGTAATGGAAATACCTTTAAATTGTTGCAAGCCAGGATTTGAGTTGCATGTTTTGGGAATTACTACAGCAGGAACCACCCAAACCAGTGGAGGACAAGTCTTACATGAAGCAGTGCCATGTGCAGCAGCAACCTGACCTGAGCTGGCTTTCGTGCCCGGTTACTCCATACAACACTCCCCCTCTCCTGTCCCGAGTGACCACCATAACAGATGGAGCCCAAAGTCATAGACTAAATGAACTCAGTGGACATTTTGTGGACATTTTATAGACATTTTACAGGGGTGGTCCACAGACTAAGGGAATGATATCTGTGCATTCTATCAAAGGATGGGAAAGGGGGTGCTTGTTAATGAGGTTGTATTGGAGAGTGTGGGACCCGAGCATGACGTAAATAACGTATGGGGTGCAGAATGTGCTGGTTTGGGCTGGGATAATTTTTTTCATAGTAGCTAGTATGAGGCTATGTTTTGGATTTGTGCTGAAAACAGCATTGCTAATACAGGCATGTTTTCATTACTGATGAGCAATGCTTACACAGAGACAAAGTCTTTTCTTCTCCTCACCCCACCAGCAATAAGGCTGGGGGTGCACAAGACACTGGGAAGGGACACAGTCGGGACAGCTGACCCCAACTGACCAAAGGGATATCCCACACCATATGATGACATGCTCAGCATATAAAGCTGGGGGAAGAAGGAGGAAGGGGAGGATGTTTGGAATTATGATGTTTGTTTTTCCAAGTAGCCCAAAGCAAGTGAGTGGCTGTGTGGGGCTTAGTTTTTGGCTGAAGTTAAACCCCAACAAAGAGTGATGAGAAAGTATGTAAAGTCCTATTTGATTTTTCTCAGAGGAAATATTTTTTCAGGGGAATTGTTCTTAATTTCTCTGCTGAGGCAAAAAATCAAATGCTAATTCCTGATAATCTTCATTCATTAAAACAATTTCTTCATATGAACACATCCTGCTGGATCATGATAGGAAGTCTACATGCATAAGTGTCGAAAAGATTAGATGTATGGATTGCCAGTCATTAGAAGTTAGGGTACATAAATGTGTCAAAATTTTGTAGAAAAAAGCAAACTTGCAGAAATCAGTGTTTACCTGAGTGTGGCTCCCTCTGTCTGTATCACATCTCCTTCTTCAAGATAAAAATATTTATGTCCTCCTTCTATTATTTCTTCATGGTGAGGGACACGAGGAAGCTTACAGATGCGATATTCAGACTCTATTGAAAGAAAGCAAAGAAAATGATGTTTTGAGTTTGTCACTAATAAAGCTAATTCCACAGAAAGGCTACTTTTTGAACAAGTACTATTAATTACTACACAGTATGAATAAAAAACTAGAAACAAGAAATTCTGTGCAGTAACTTTACGTTTACAAAGCAACCTTATTCCTGAGCCACAAACACTGAATAGTGAAAGCCATTGAAGCTGAATACTGTACTCTGTACCAGCAGCAATTTTGAAGATGAAAAAGCACAAGTGAAATTAATAAAGGTCAATAATTATTATATTTTACAAATGTTCCTTCTTGACTCATAAAGAGCCAAAAAAAGGTTTCTACGACATCATTAAGATTTCTGCACTCATGCTCTGCATTATGATTCACAGAAGCACCATTCAACGTTTTATTAACAGTAGATGGAGGCTTTCTGACCTGCAACTTCCCTCAGTGTCTTATCGCTCTGAACTGAGCATGAACTAGAAATGCCTTGGCTGGGACAGCTATGGATAGCAACCCAGAATGGTATTTATATCCTTTGCTAGTCTTTACAACCATAGTCATGGGCTGACAAGACGAAATCCTCACAAAGACACCAGTTTTCAGTCATGGCCAGTCATCTTCACACATAAGTATCTGGCAATTTTACAAAATCTGACAAAGCCTGTGACAAAGCTTGTGATGAAGTCTGATGACGATAAGAACTGCAATATCCATGCTGCTTATTCTATTCCCAGATACTGAAGCAGAAATGTCTCTTACTGTTTATCTACACAAAATACATATTTGTAGATCAGAATGTACCTGCCGACTGCCCTACCCTCTTCCTTCTCATGATCTGATGCCTACAAATTTGCCAGCAATTACTAATGGTCTGCTGTAAGTTATGCACTATCTTTTTCAGAAATTGAGTTATTTAATTTTTACACAAACAAAAGTAATAGTAAATCTGTCATTACTGAAAATGTAGAAAGGAACGAGTATTAAGTTTTTCTCACATCTCTTAATATCATGTAAGCTGCTGATGGCTATCTAGGTTCTCATTCACACATAATAAAAATTCACTATGAAGCTATGCACAGGTATTGAAGAAAAACTGTAGTACAATATTCAGATTATTTACTGCTCTCATTCTACACATTGCAACAGTATCATGAAATTGAATGTAGTGTACATGGAGATTCCAGAAGAACCCAGATGATTTGCACAGCACTGTAAAAAGCTTTTTCTTGCCAAATATGTAACATTTGCAACAATATCTGAAATCGCTGGCCTACCATTAGGGATATTTGTGCAGATATCAGGTATTCCACCAGTATGATCACGATGCCAGTGTGTCACTAAAATTTCCTGAATTGAGATGTTGAACTCTGACAGCGTCTGCTTTAAACAGCCGATATATTCAGGAATAGCTGGTTCCCCAGTGTCAATAAGGACTCTTCTACACATGGAAAAAAAACAAAAACAACAAAACAAGCGAGGGGGGGAAAAAAAAAAAAAAGTGAGAGACTTGGGAGTGCTCACGTGACAGTTAAAGAATGTTAAAAAAAGAACCCAACATTGCATGGAAATGTGGTGATAATGGATGTCTCCATACTCCAGACGCCATCTCTTCCCTCCTTGATATTCTATCCCCGTGCTATAACAATTTACAAAGGAGAATAAATAACAAATTGAGACCGCATATTTCCAACTACCGGACAAGTCGCAGGAGCTGCCATTTCGTACCGCCGGGGAGCTGCAAGGCCCCAGGCGACGAACCCATCCCCGTCCCTCACGGAATTCTTGGCCGAACAGTCGCCCGGCCGAGCCCCCGCATCCCACCTCTCCGAGCCGCCTCCGGGCACCGGTCCCGAAAACAATGCCGTATTTTTAAAGTTTTTCTCCTCTTTTTTACCCTAAGTAAGGGATTTCGGAACAGCCCGGTAACCGCCTCTCGAGCCGGAGGCAACGCACAGGCCCCAAACGCGACGGCCCCAGCCCCTTGCCCCGGCCCCGAACAGGGTCGTTACCTGGGCCCGGTGCCCACCAGGTAGGTGTTGGTGCCCTGCAGAGTCATGGGCCCCGGGTTGCAGCCCAGTACTCGCACCACTCGCGACGAAAGCCGCTCGATGCGCGGCAGCAGCGACACCATCTCTGCAGCAGCACCCCGCAAATCTCCCCCACTCCAGCCGACCGGCCCCGCTCCCCTCACGCCACCGCCGAAAGGCGAAGGCGCAGAGCACAACGCCCGGCGCCAGACGCGCGGCCTTCCGCCCGGCCGTGGGGCGGGCGCCTGGGAGGCGCCTCGGCTACCGCCCTCACTGAGGCGGATCCTCCTGGCCCCGGGCTATGGAGGAGAGCGGGCGGGTTTTCGCTTAAAACTCGGCCTCTAGGAACGAAAACTGGTAATTCAGGGCGATATTCCCCTTTGAGGGGTCGGTGCCTCGCTGCTGCGCAGTGAGAGGTAGGACGCGGCTTTGCTGTCTTCTTCCTAAAGGTGGGAGGAATTTGTTGTAGCGACAGCTGCATCTGCTGTGTGTTCTGAGAACGTGGCCACTTACAGCACATACAGGAGCTGTATATGCTTCTGTATGCCATATAGGAGCTATCAAGGATTCAGCATTTTTAAGAAAATTGTGGTCTTACGGAAGTGTATGGAGCAAAGGGCCACTACATGAAGGGACAGGAACATCTCCCCTGTGAGGAAATGCTGAAAGCTGGGACTGTTCATCCTGGAGAAGAGAAGGCTCGGGGAGATCTCATCAATGTGTATAAATGCCTGAAGAGAAGATACATAGAGGACGGACGCAGGCTCCATCACAGGGCTGTTGCTACCAGTCCTCTCATGGGGCCTGGTGCCAAGACCAGATGCCTTGTGCACACACTGAAACACAGGCGGTTCCCTCTGAACATCAGAAAACACTTTTTCACCGTGAGGGTGACTGAGCACTGACACAGGTTGCCCAGGGAGGTTATGGAGTTTCTGTCCTTGGAGATATTAAAAAGTCGTGTGGACGTAGTCCTGGGCAGCCTGCTCTAGATGTGCCTGCTTGAGCAGGGAGGGCAGACCAAATGACCTCCAGCAGTCCCTTCCCACTTCAGCCATTCTGTGAAATTTTGTCACTTTCATCCAAGTAGATACTGTGTTTGTAAACAGCATTCACTCTAGAGCCTGCAAGGTGCTGAAATTCACCTGTTTGGCTTTGCAGTGTCCCCTCTAAAACCCCTCATTTAATTGCCTTTCAACTGACACTGTTAGAGAAATTCAGGCAAACTTGTTCTCTCCCTAAAGTCCCTGTAAATGAAGAATAAAGGTAATTCAACCTGAAATTAAAGCAGGTAATATTACTGTGGGGAACTTTACCAGTATTAGAATTTCAAATATTATCTGATTGTTTTATACCTATATAAGTTCCAGTATATATTACCTGTAACAAACAAATTTAAATTTCTAAGGTGATGATAGCAATACAAAGCAGAAGGAAGTGTTGGTGGTAGCATAATTTTTGCTTAAATGATTTTTCATGATACAAAAATAGAGTTCCAACCCATATATGTGATCTGGGGCCATTTCTAGGATTTGCATGGGCAAACAGAACAGAATCCGTGGGCATGGACAAACAGAACAGATGTCTGAAGGGGCAGAAATCCCCAAATATGATCTTGATAGGCAAACTTCCTAAAGACTTGTTGGATACAAACAACTCTGAGTACAGCATGGAACAGAAAAACAAAATTTTGTGGCTCCAACAGAGCTTTGTAACTTCATGAAACTTCAAAGTTCAATTTTTTTGGTTTGCTTAAATGCTACCATGGGCAAATAATACATGCAATACATGCTAGGAGATAAGCTTTTAAAGGCTTCAGTATGCTAATAAAGTTCTGCATCTTGCCATGCATGGACAAACTGGTGTTCTCCACTCTAACACTAGTGTCTTTCATCCTTCCCTCATCGCCAGTTCTCAGTCTGCCACAGATCCACTTGATGCGTTTGGCTTCTTGGGCAGCTCTAGGTGGAGGATGGTGTGAGGCAGGGAGGCAGCTCTGAGGTAGGCCCTGCTACCTGCCCAGCCATGACACACTTGCTAGTGTTGACTCACAAATCCAGATTTTCAGCTAGCCTCCGAGGCCTGAGAACAAAGGGTGCCTTTCAGCTGCCTGGTCAGACAGCAGCCATGCTGCATCTTCACAGTCCAGGGACCAACAGCATGCTTGCCTCTGGGCTGTTTCATCAGTACTAACTTAGCTACAGTTAGTACACTTGAAGTGTTAGCTAACCCTTCAGCTACACAAACCGTATGCATCACCTTGCAGTCACCTATTCAGCCAAAGTTTGCTTTGTGGTGCACAAGAGGCTTGAGAGAAGTACTTTGTGCTGACCTATATTATAGAGCAATTAAAGAAATCTGCTCCTGGGCATGGACTTTGATTGCAGCTGTTAATTGCCAGGTATCACAAAAGTCACAGACAGAATCTGTGCCACAGTACAGATACTGTCCATCCCTAAATTTAGGCCTTCAAGCCAATTTCTTTGATTTATCTGTTAAATCAAAACTTTACTTATTTGAGATATAAACCTATTATATTTGATTTTTATTTTCAAGATCATCAAAGCATGAACTACAGCAAACAGAAAGGATGTTTCAGATCAAAGGAAAGAAGCCCTTTTGTATGCAGGTATGCTGCTGAAGTAAGCAAGACCCCCTATACACAATATTCCAGTCTCTTCCCATATCATTTTCCTGTATACTGTTTTATAAGAAACTGTGACTAGACCTGAACTTACCTAATCATGAGGTACTGTACTATGCTGATTTTGTAGCACATGTGTATACCTATTTGGTGGTACACTCAACCCATTTTCAGTCCTTAGGTGAAGTTTAGTTGTTATGTCATTAGAAGAAGGTACTACATAAGCAAAGACAAGTTGTGTATTTCAGTAGCTTCATATTTCTCAGAAAATTCTGAAAGTTTAGAGAAAATTTCTGAAATTATTTACCTGAAGTTTTACATGTCATTGATAACTTAGAAGTAGTAAGGTGCCAGTTATTTTTGACATCACAATACTTTTTTCTTTTCTGAATTAAGAGGTGTTTGGGGAACTGTAGACTTGTTCCCCGGGGAACACTTATTACTGCGGTTACTGTCCTGTAGTAAAGGAATGTATTATCTAATATTAAGCAGGAGCTGTGAATCTGTTTCGTCTGTAGGTGGCAGCAGTGGGTGCCTTTGGAGAACAACGTACAGGTTCTGTTACCATCTTTATTTCCTGCACAAACCCATCGGTTTGAGAAGTCTGTTGTTTCCCTTAAAATACAGGGGTTAATAGTGACGTAGTGAAAGCGTATTATACTCTGCAAGCAAATGTGAGTGTAGAGCCTCAAGTTCTTTTGGTTCACTGACTGTTTTATGTTGCTAAGACAAAATTTTGAGGGGAAAAATATTCTGAAGCAGGGAATATTAGACTATCAGTAAAAAAAAAAAAATTAAATAGTTTCATTAATAAAATGTGATTTCTGGTGATATACAATGTGATATTTGATGGACGATTAATTTTATAGAACTATGAGATACATAAAATGCAGTTTGGTATTTCTGAAAATCCCACAAGGTCACTGTTTGCATTTTTAGCACTCAAGAAACCTTTGAGTGCTGGCATTTGGCTTTTTTCCCCATTTTAAGAATAAATGTTGAAGATAAAAGCCTCTCCACTGTGGCTGTGTAATAACTTAATAGATATAAGCATAAGTATGTAATTCTGTGATAATTAGAATCAGTTGAATAATACATAGAAAATTTACTGAGATATTTATCTTCATAGACATTGGTACGTGACAGTCTTGTGGGGCCGATTTTTGTTTGGTAGGTTTTCATGTTATTTTAATACAATTATACCTGCTATTTATAAAACATATTTTAAGAAATGCATATATTTATTGGTAGTTGCAGAATTTTTCTTTCAATTTAATTATGTTTTTATGTTTGTTACCTGTTACAGAGATAAGTAAAGAAACCTTAAACCATAAAGTGAAGCAGATTTTGCAGAGGGAACGTAGGCTGCAAGATTTCTACATTGAGAGGCAGCATTGTGTAGGAAATGTAGAAAACCAGATCGGCTGGTTTGTAGGAGATGATTAAAGGGGATGATGAAGGGACTGGGACATCTCTCCTGTGAGGAAACACTGAGAGATCTTGGACTGTCCATCTTGGAGAAGAGAAAGCTCAGGGGGATCTATCTCATCAATGTATATAAATACCTGAGGGAGGGTGCATAGAGAATGGAGCCAGGCTCTGTCACAGGGCTGTTGCCTCTGGTCCTGTCATGGGGTCAGGACCAGAGGCAGTGGGCACACACTGAAACACACAAGGTTCCCTCTGAACATGAGGAAACACTTTTTCACTGTGAGGGTGACCAAGCACTGGCACAGGTTGCCCAGGGATGTTCTGGAGTTTCCATTCTTGGAGATATTCAAAAGCCATCTGGACACAGTCCTGGGCAACCTGGCTCTGGGTGGCCCTGCCTGAGCAGGGGTGTTGGACCCGACAACATCCAGCAGTCCCTTCCCATTCTGTGACTGTGCGATTCTCCTAAAAATCTGTATGTTAATGCTGATCAGAGCATAAATACTCCATGTGAACCATGTCAACTTCTGTGTTCACTGTACAGGCGACCAGGGGTTCTGCTGTAGCAAGGTACAAAGTAGCAGCAGTGGTAGAAAACTGCTGACAGCCTGTACAAGTATATTGGAGTAATTAATGAAAAAGCAGGGGAATCTGTTACACTGAAGTCATTGGCCAGTACACTCTTTCAAGCCATGCATTTTCTTCTGTAACTTCCATTAATACCAATGGCAAAACCATTAAGTGGCTGCAAAGCTGAAGTATCAAAAATAAAGACACCTACACAATGAATCTTCAGAAATCTCCACGTGTTTCAGGTCAGCGCTTCATCCTGATTATTTCTGTGCTAGTCCTGGTGAGAACCTTAGCTTCCGATACCTGGAATAAGTTATTGTTCCAAAGATAAAATATCCAATGTCCTGTCAACACTAATCAAAGCAGAGAAAAAAGGTCCTTCCTATCCCATGTGGAACCAAATAACAAGATGGGTACGGAATACCACAGGAGTTTTGTCACAGTTTAGAGATGTGCTTTCTTCAATGGCAAGTCTAACTAGAAAACAAATAAATAATCCAGCCAGTAATTTAGCTCATGAACTGCTTGGTTTACACTTCAAGAATCAG